ATAATTGTTTTTTGAGAGGATTATTGTATCTTCTAATATTGTGAGTCACAATGTTAAGAGAAAGTGAATAGTTAGTATTATTAGTATTAATATTAGTAGTTGTTTGTATTAGGTAAGTTTGTGATTTCAATGATAAGTTATAATATATTAGAAGTTAATATGATTCTATAAACAAATAATTTTTGAAAAGGATTAGATTGTCAAAGGTATATATGTATGCTTCTCCAAGTTTAAGATCAAAAGAAAATATTGTTCTATAATTAAATTTGTAGAATTGTAGATAAGTGAGAAAAGATTTGATAGTTTGATTATTGTTTAGAAGAGTGAGGTTATAATATGTTAAGAATTTATTATAGCATGGTAGTAGTCTTTGTTGTTTCAGATATATTAGTAGTAGGGCTACTATATAGATATCTTCTATAAGATTATGAGATATTGATGGATTTGTAGAAGACAAGCTTATTGAAAAAGAGTCTGTTCAGTTTATTCAGTTTGTAAAAAGAGAAAGTCTACTATTTCAACTAGTTTAAAGTTAATATTAAATTTTTCTTTTAGAATTCTTTCAGTTTCTGAAACTGCTGTTGTCTTATAGAATTCTGTTATTGTTTTATATATTAGAATATTATTGAGTATAATATCATTATAAATAATTATACATGCTAAGAAGTGTATATCGATTAGCTATTCTGTTAGTACTTTTATAGCTTCCTCTTTGTTGAGAAGATTGATTTTGTAGTTTTGTGCAGCTTGATTATAATAGAGTATTAGATATTAGTAGAAGTAGTAATTGCAGTATCTAATATTTGTTTTGACTTTATTAGCTTTACAAACAAATTCTTCTACTTGGTTAGCTAATTTATCAAAAGTTTGAGTAGGAATTTTGGTTTTAAGAGTTGCTTCATATTCTTTATCAATATAGAAGATAGAAAGATTAAGAGGTAGAAGTTTCTATTATTCATTCTCACCTGGTAAATAGACAACTTTTGAGTATTTTATTATTGCTTGGTATAGACAATTAGGATCATGATATTTGTTAGTTTGCTCTTTTTCTTCTTTTTTTGCTTGTAGGTTTTTTTAGAGATATTTGCAGTCATCTTTTAAGTAAGTGAAAATGTAATGGTTTGCTAGGCAAGTTGCTTCATATTGGTATTCTTATAGTAATTTAGGCTTTTTTATTTTATATTTTTCTAGAAGGAGTTTTGTTAGGTAGAGAATAAAATGTTGTCAGATTTGATATTTAAGATATATAAGAGTTTTTTGCTTATTAATAGATGTACTGAATTGATGAGAGTAAGCTAGAAAGACCTTCTCAAACCAGCTACTGAGGTTGTCAAATAAGTTTTTTAAAGATGAAATGTTAAATTTGTCAAGAAAGAGAGTTTTAGAAATGTTAAAGAGTAGTTTGATATTGAATCTTAAATCTGAAGAGATAGTGAAGTATTCTTGTTCTTGGTCAGAATGTTTAATTGTAGAGTCAATTTTAAATTTTTTAGATCTAAGTTTGAAGTCTTCATTAAATTTTGAGTAGTTGATTAATTAGAAATTATTTGTTAAGTAAAAATGTAATCATGCTATGTTTAAGCATATTTGAAGGCAGTTTTCTATTTTATATAGTGGAATTATAATAGAAAATATAAAGATCTCTTTATAATTTATTTTAGTAAATAGTTAGTTATAAATTTGACTAAGAGATCTTTCAGTGTAGATTTGAGAAGGTCAAAATGAATTGTTGTATCAGAGTTTATATCTGGGTTTGCTTAATAGATTAATTTGGTTAGAGATTCAGATCTTTGGCCTGCTATTGTGTAGATGAAATATTTAAATAATATTCCAGAAGTGAAGTTTGAAAATTTATCTTTAAGAAAACTAAATAATTGAAAAGATAGTTTAGTTTGAAGTTTGGTATTAGGTTTTATTTCCTCTGTGATTAGAAAGTTTGCAAGCTAGTTAAATACTGGGTTTGCTTTAGATTTATTTGGTTTAGTAGAAGTAGTTTGAGATTATAGTAGGTTTTTAGCTAAAACTTTAGAGTAGGAGTTATTGTTGTTTTCAGTAGGTTGGTTTGGTTTAGTAAAGGTATTTTTCCCTTTGAGATTTGGTGTTTTTGGTACATCAATTTCTATATCATTGTTTAAAGTTGTTTGTAGAGTTTGGTCATTAGTATTTGTGTTTATGTTAAGTTTTGAGTTAAGTTGGTTTGTGTTGGAGTAGTAAGATTGATTTTATTTCTGATAATATTTCCTTAATATTAGTAGTTGTAGTAGTTAGAAGAGATGTTTTATTGTTGTTTGTTAGTGTCAAAGAAGTTAGAGAAGGAGTAAGTAAGTTTTGGAGTTATTGTTGTTTTTGGAAGATAGCAGTTAGATTCTTTCTAGTAGAAAGAAAGTCATAAGTTGCAGAGAATATAGAGCTAAAGTTAGTAGAAGAGAGTAGATTGTTAGTGTTGTTTTTTAGAAAACAAATGTAGTAGTAAGCTTCATTTTCATAGAAAGTAGCATTATTATTTAGTTTATAAATATTGTTAATGAGTTTGTATTTGATTACAAGCCAACATTTTGAACAAGTATGTTAGCAGAAGTTTGGTGTTGGAGATGATAAGATATTTCAGAGCTTTTAGCAAGGTTTTGTAAGAATACTCTAGTTTTTTGTTATTCATATTTGCTGCATAAGTTATAAAATTAGAAAGAGAGATATTATATTCTTTGTTAGTTGCAGAGATAAAGTTAGTATAGTAGAAGCTACATAGGCAGTAGATAGTTGCAGAAGTTTTAGGAGCAAGTACAAAATGAGTAATTTTTGCATTATTTCAGAAGATTTTAGTAAGACAAGTTATTAGTTTGCTTTTAAGAGAAATTAGAGAGATGTTTTTCAGATCTTCTTCATAGAATACTACTCCAAAACTGTTAGGATACTTCCTGTAGAAGTAGTCTAAGTCAAAGTTATCTAGTATTTTACTTGTTAAAGTAGGCATTGTTGAAGAATAACTTAAGTAAAGGATATATAATTTAGAGAGTGTAACAATTAAGAAGACAAAAGTTAGATAATTGGATAAGAGATATAAAAAATATTTGATATGATGAATAAAAGGATATGACAAATAAACTATATCACTAGATGATAATTAAGGGATGTGATAAATATTATTTTATTACAGATGTGATGTGATAATTGAAGAAATATCATAGGTATGATGTGATATAGTTGTGTTCTGTATTTAGCTAAAAATAGATTGTGTTTAATTAATTTATAAATAGAATTTTTATATCAATTATTATAAAACACACTTATAGTGTTTTACCATTATAAGTAATGTTTAATTTGCAAATCTGTATAATGAAAATAAAAAAATAAATTTTTATAAAACAAAAAATAAAATTTGATTACTTTAGAGTTAGGACAAGACCTGAGATTTTATTTAAACATTAATATATGCAAAATTTTACAAGGAATTTTTTTAATTAGAACTCCAAAAATAGTTTTATAGACAAAATTTTAAGATATTAATATTTTTTTAAAAAAGTAAATAAAAAAGCAAAATTTTATGTTATACTTGATCTTAAATTTTGATTAGCTATTCTAATAGCTTCATATAACAAAATAGCTATAAAACACTATGAATATAAAACACTATAGGTATGTTTTAGTAAAAATGTTTTTATATAGTACTAATTTAGGAAGTTGTATTAATTTAATTTGTAATCTTTTAAGGTTGTGTTTAATTAAAATTAATCCAATTCAGATTTTTAATGTAGGTCAATACAAGGTTTGAATTTTACAAATTTGAAAATTAGTTGAATTATCAAAAATAGTAATTTGGAGCAAAATAGAAGTTTTTTTAATAGGTAAATTTTTCTGGTTTAAGTACTAGAGAACTTAATTTTAAAGCTATTTAAGTAAAACATAGCTTGTTATGACCAGGAGGACTAGGCTAACAACTTTGCTTAAAGGCCTAAAGGAGATTAGAAAGTAGTTTTGAGTAAACCTTAAAAGTTTGAAGTTGTTTTTTATTTTTGTATTTTCAATAGTAAGTTGTTAGAAAGAAGGCTAATAATTTTAAAATTAGACTGCTTAAATATGAAATCTAGTGCTAAGTAAGTTTGCTTAAGAGTACTTAGTTTATTTAATAAAAAGTTAAAGAAAATTAGTTTTTGTAGAAATTTTTTTTGGTAAAGTTTTGGTATAAGTGATGTATAGATTAAGTTCCTTATATTTATTACTTTTAAAACTTTTATAATATATATAATAAATAAAACTATTAAATTCCTTATAATATTTATCTTTCTTAAAAATGTTATAACTTTAATAACTTTTAAAACTACTATAATAATTATATATATAATAATAGTTAAATTCCTTAAAATCCTTATAACTATTATAACTTTTATAAGAGATTTAACAATATATCTCTTAAAACTATAGGTTCTTTAAAAAGTTAAAGATCTACTTAGCCATAAAATTAAGCTATAGCTAAGTATATGAGCTTTAAAAAAGAAGCTCAAAATCTAATTTCTCTATATAACAATATATATATATATATATATATATATATATATTATATTTATCTTTTATTTGTTTATTATTATTTATATTTTATTTATTTTATTTTATTTTTTCTCAGATGTTATTTACTAGGATACCAAGTAGATATACTTTATTATTAATATTAACTAATTGTAAATTATTTTATAAATTACAAGATTATATACTTAAGTAGCAAATTGTAATTAAAGAGCCAAAAATGATCAATATTATATAGTAATATACAACAAGTATTTAATATTAAATATTACTTAATATTGGAATAGTAAACATCTGTTTAACTTCAAGATGCTAAAAAGTCAAAACTATACTATAAAACTTATAAACAAAGGACAAATAAACCCAAATCTTCATTACAGACTATATGCTCAAGATTAGTAGATCCCAAATTTAAAAATTACAAATAATATACAAACCCTTCTATTTCATCTTTATATAAATTTAGTAAATCAAATAAGTGGTTATAATTTTATTTTATCTATTGTTAATAGACCTTCTAACTCTTTACAACTAGATTTCTTATGCTCAGTAGGGGAAAAAATTAGTAATATAGAAGATACATCTTTAGCTACTATTAATATAATATATAGAAAATTATTTAAAAGTCAAACAGAATATTCTGAACTAGTAGTATTCAGATTTTATAACAAAAAAATTATATCACAAATACTAACTGACATTTTATTTTTTTCATTATATATACAGATTAAAAAAAATTTTACTGTAGTAGTTTCAGGAATTGGATACTCTTCACGAGAAGATCTTTTAAATAGTGGGCCTAGCTATACATCATCACTAATAATATATCATAATTCAGAAATGTATCTTATTTGGCAACAAATTTTGAAAGATTAATGTAGTTTATGAGTTTTTAAAGGCAAAAATAAAATACACCAATATGTTGATAAAATACCAACTATTGTTTAGAACAAGTATAGAATATGCCAAAATCAAGACCATCTTATACTTTTTTGGTAAAGAGATATGAACATTCAAATATTATTAGCAAATAATATATATGCAATATATATATCACTTTAGTAGTATGAAAAGTTAAGCTTGTAACAAATATTTGATCTACAAATTAAATGTAGAAAGATTTCTATACCTAATGAAGATTAGCAAACCTTTTTTACTAACTAGATTACACAACAAAGTTTAATAATTCAGTTTCTATACATTTTATATAATATATACTCACCTAGTTATGCATTTCAACACAAAGAATTAGTAGCTTAGTATTCTATGTTTCTAGCTTGTAGGTGTATAAATATTATGCTATATTTAGAAAGAGAGCCTGATATTGAATTTTGAATATGTGCAGTAGATTATGAAGCAGATTAACAAATTATACAAAATTTATATCAATAGGAATTACTTTAGATACAAGATTTTTTATATAATATTACAACAAGTTGTCAATTCTGAGATAGTTTTCACTATGTATTAGATATTAGTATTAGAGATATCAAAGGAAAAATTTGAATACTTTCTATTATCATACTTGATTTTAATTACCAGATTCTTTAAAAAGAATTAGATATAAGTAGTATTGGCAACAAAATTATGTATGTATAATTAATCATCATATATTTAGCATATATTTATTGCATATAAATCAAAAATTACTACATATATACTAGTTGTTAGTTTCTTGTGATAATTAATATTATATAATTTTGTTGGCAATACTAGATATAAGGTCTTAATTACGTATTTATTTTGTAATAAGATTTATTAATATAATATATACAAATTTGTAATTAAATATAAGTAACTTTAAGAACTATATATAAAGATTTAGTGATCTTAGTATAGTGGTTAGATTGCTAGACTGCTATGCAAGAGGTCTAGTGTTCAAATTCTACTGTATACAGAATTGAATAATTATCTAGATATCTGTATTCAACTTACAGTAAAACTCTATCTGTTTCTGAAGTTGTAACCCTGTAAATTATGTTATACCAATACTAATCAGTATATTAGAAATGTGATAAAGCATTCGATGAGGCATAATGTTACAAGAATAAATTATGATAGGATCTACAGGCAGGAAACATGCATAGTAGAAATTCCAAGTTAGGTAAAGTAGTATGGATTTCAATGGTCATACTGGTTTACACTTGATCTGATGAAAGAAATCTGTAGTTAAAAGTTGTGACCAAGCGGGTGCAAGTAAGTTCATTATATAAGGTTATATAGCAACACCAATCTAGCTTAGTAGCTAACTGAATTAGAAGAATCTGTTTCATGAAATATCTGAAAATATGGAGAACTGATCTAGTAGAAGGTCACAGAAGAAACTGAGGGTATATGCAAGCTAGATTGGAATATAGCGTAGTATAGTTGAGTACTATAGCACTCATTGATTAGGAAGTTAGTGAAGGAGTACCTGAGATGGGCCTAGGTTTTGAATCATAAAGTTTGTGAACAAATATCAGCTCAGATGTCTTCCTGGTGAAGTAGCATGGAATTAGACTAGCTTGGTATAAATAGATAAAAACAGGTAAGTCATAAGGCCAAAAGGTTTAAATAGGAAATCTTCAAATAGATTTTAGGTATCACAACTAGTATAAAACCTTTGAGCAGACTACTTAAATAGACAATCTAAAGTTGTATGTATGACTAGTTGTACTCTCACAATATGTATTATTATCTACTATCAAATAACTAATAAAGTTTCAGCTAATAGCATTTGTATAAAGTAAAAAAAAAAAAAAAAAAAAAAAAAAAAAGAACTATATATAAAGTAAAAAAATATGTACATCTCTATAGTGCTAGTGCTCTATCTTTAGAAACTCTAAAAAAAAAAAATTTATAGTCGATTTTAAAGAAAAACAGTTCAAATTATTTTTTTTCAATAAAAATAATATTACAATAAGCTCTTATAAAATAGACTCCAAAACTAACTTGCCTATTCTTTATTTGTATAACAATAAGACGATACTTTAGAAAAAGTTTCAAGAAACCTTTCCTAATAGAATAAAAAAAATATCATTTATGAGATAACTTAAAAATTACACACATCTAAAATACTAGGAAGATTTGAGAAGTTTTTGTAGAATTTGCAATGAGTATAGTTTTGGATTATTTAAAACTTTAGTTAGGATTGTGAGAAATATATTTTCTGACAAAATAGAATTAGTATCATGTTTTTTTTTTTTTTTTTTTTTTAGAACACAATTTTTTTTTTTTTTAGAACACAATTTTTTTTTTTTTTTTAGAACAATTTTTTTTATTTTTTTTTTAGAACACAATTTTTTTTTTAGAACAATTTTTTTTTTTTTTGAAAAAACAATTTTTTTTTTTTTACTGCAATTCTCAGATTTAAAATTCTATTTGTGACTTAATTTTGGTATTTACTCTCAGAGCCCTAATTATTATTCTTGCTCTGTTTATTCATTTAGAGATGTTTTGCTATGCTTTCTCCTCTTAAAATGCATTCTTTTTTTTAATTATATGCAATCTTTTTTTTTTAATTGAGGTTTTTTTAATTGAAGTTTTTTTTTTTAATTAAAATGTTTTTTTTAAAAAAAAAAAATTTCAAAAAATTGTCTTTTTTTAAAAAAAAAAGTTGAACCTTTTTTCTTTTTTTTAAAAAAAAAATTAAATCTTTTTTCTTTTATTTTAAAAAAAAAAAAATAAAAAAAAAAATTAGAATGCTTTTTTTTTAAAAAAACAATTAGGTAGTATTTATTGTCATTATTATTATTCTTATTAGAATAAAATACTTTTACAAATTGAACATCTGCAATATCATTTTAAATAGGAGTTTGAACAAGAGTTAGTAATATCACTAGATAGAACAATTTTACATGATTCTTATATCAACTACTGCCTTCTATATACTTTTGAAGAATATTCAGCATTACATGTTTCAAGATATTCTAAGTATAAACAATTTTATAGATTTTTTGATGAGCTAGAAAATCATATAAATAATAAATATATAACACAACTACATGAAGTTAAAGAGTGACTAAAACACTATCTAAGTTACTAAATAAGAAAAATCTATCTTAACGCTTAATTTAAGGTGACTTTAGCTAAGTTAAATTCTGATAGTACTTTAATAGTAGCAGACTATAAAATACAAATTCTTCTGAGATCTGCTTATGAGACCAAAAAAGATTTTTTTAGAAAAAGGAGTTGAATGTTATACATCATTCTAGTTTTTAGAAAAATAAAAAATCAAAATATGCTAGATATTCAAGCATTTGATTATTAGTCTACTGACACAAAGCAAGATACATAGTTTACTGCTTCTTAATTTGAAGCAGTATTTAATTCAATAAAAAAAAAACTCAAATAGATAACAGTAATTTCAGATAATGGTGTATACTACCATAATTCAGAGCTAATAGCTATTATTGCTCATTGGTATACTTGATACTCTATTAAAGTTAAAAGATGGCTATTTTTGAAGCCAGGAGAAGCTAAAATGACTATTGATTCTCATTATACAAATATGAATCTATTATTATTATTTTTATAAGTTTATTTGAGCTAGGTACTAGAAAAAGAAACCAATTTGATAATTTTTTCAAAAAAAATTTTTTTTATAACAAGATCAAAATTATTTTTTACTTAAAACACAAAAGAGTTATATTAATAAAATTATATAGTATAACTCTTTAAAGATTATATTTTATTATAAAATTTATATTATTTTTTTTGTCAATTTGGGTTCTTTTCTCAGTACCTAGCCTATTTTCTTGCGAAGACTTATTAACATTTTAATACTTTAATATCACATAAGATCGGTCATAGTATTAAATAGTATATTTGAGTTAGATTTGATATAGCTAAAGGTGATGATATAGTAAAAGTGGTAAAGGGATTAGCTAAAACTTTATTAATACAAATTATAATAAATTATGATAATGGAGATAATTAATCTGAAACTGGGGGGTATAAAGTCAAAAAAAAAGGAAAAATTCAAGTAATAAAAAACTGAAAATTAAAACAATACCAAAGATATCAAAGTTTTACTGTTAGAAATAGCTAATAGAAGAATCTCTAGCTAGATTTATTCGTGCTAAGGGTTACTATATGTAGGCCTATAGGTGAGTTTTTCTCTAGCTGAAATTACCAAGTTATCTAATGCACCTATTGTTCACCTAAAACTAGTAATTTTGGAACATACAAAACCAATATCTAATTGGATTATGCTAATCCTAATACATCAAGGTATATATATAAATGTAAATACCTAGTATAAAATAATAGAATTAATGCCTATAATAATAATTTTAGTTTTTACTAATGAAAAAGTAACTGAGATAGAAGGTAATTATAACTATGATTTATAACTAATTGTAATACGTTACTAAATAACTTTTTTTATAAAACAAATGTTACTAATTCTAATAGTGAAGACAATAATTAAGGTTCTGAGAAAGACGTTGAAGATAGAAATTAATTTTTATAGTGTTTTTAATAAGCTACTAATTAATTTTTTTGTAAAACAGACTTTACTAATTTTAGTAAAGATGATTATCAAGGAGGCTATGGAATGAAAGTTAATAGTAATATAGATTAGCTATCCTAGTAATTTAGACTAGCTCAAAATACAAATTTTTTACTGTATAAACGAAAAAAAAATTTTGCTAATTCATATATGACTTATTCAGAAAATAGTACTAAAGAGAATAAACAGAAAGTATTTATTTGTTTTCAA